TAAATTACTGAAGTAAACAGCTGCAGCTGTAAATATTCAACATGGAGCAGACATGTTGCTAAAGGATTTGCTGTTTCAATCGTTTTTCGGTGTAGAAATACATCTTGAAGTAAAAATAGATATATATGTACCAAAAAGTTGCTGAAAAAATGTCTACTCAAACTTCTTTTGGCTTGAGACCAAATATGCAAAGTTCCTGCTGGAAAGAGGAATTCCTCTATTAGCATGAAAACAAGGCAAATCTAACTGGATATTAAACTTCACTCAGTGTCTGCAATACAAAGACCTTCCTCCAGAAAACTGCAGACTCAACAGTCATGGCCTAGTATGACTGATAGTGAGTGAGGCTTTAGCTCAGAAGAAAATCTTTTTTGTTATGGACTTTTGGGGATGGAAACAGAGATTGGTAGGGAAATAGGGGAAAAGACAGTGATAACACTCACTGTTGGTTTTGGTTTGCCTCAACAGGGACATGACTGTCTCTGCTGCTATTCTTCTGCATATGGAAATGTGGGCTTTGTAGTCAAGAGAGAAGGCAGAACAGACATAATTAACTTCACATCTCTAGGATCTCTAGAGAAAGCAAATAAAAATAATTCTTGTGCATCCACTGCTGAATTGCCACCCAACCAGGTCCATGGGTGGAGGCAGAGCACCCCACACCCTTTTTAGAGAATTGCTCTACACTGAATGTCATCTCAGCCTAATGACCACAGGGGCACCGTCAGAGCTGCTGAAGTTGTTTGAGAACTGCTAGGAACGACTGCAATCCAGGCCCAAACTCTGAAGGCCAATTCTAAAACACTTACGTTTTTCTGCTTAGGACCAAGGGCAATGGACACAGGTTGGATGCTGGGAAATTTCAACTAGATACCTGGAAAAATTGCTTATTTCAACTGCTACCAGAACAGATTGCTTAGAGAGGCATTGGTATCTCCAACTTTGGATGTGTTCGAAACTTGACTGGGGAAGTCTCTGAGCAACCTGCTCTAATTAGACTTGCTTTGAGCAGTAGGTTGGACCAGATGACCTCTAGAGGTCTCTTCCAACCTAAATTGTCCTATGATTCTATGAAATGTTGACAAATAACTGTAAGGTCTGGACTGTCCTGGAGTTCAGAAGTACAAGGAAGTTTGACTAGAAGTGATGCAGAAAGCAGGACTACCAGAATTTTCCTGGAAAGAAGAGTGAAGAAGCTTGACTACAACTAGCGCGGAGGGGGAGGCATTCCCTGTTTCTGATTGTATTCATATTGGTCATGCAGCTGTTGGCAAGTCATATAACTTATCACCTGAGAGCTGAACACTTACTGCTTCATTTCCATCAGCTGGAGCTAGTGTCTCTGTCCTGTTGGAAATCAAATTTTAAAAGTCTCTTTTATAAGAGCAGATGTGTTCGTGAGCTTCTCAAAGCATCATTGATAACAACTCAGAAGATTGAAATCTGAAGATTAAAAGAGAACTTTTGGCATAAAAATTTCCCGGTGAACCAGACAGAATAAAACTTTGTTCTGGAGGGTAGTAGCTATTTTTCCAAAATATTTTTCTGCAATTTGGTGGGGCGTAGATAGAATTTATCTGCTAATTGGATAAAGATTCAAATCTACTGAAATTTTTATCTGGTTACTTTTAGGTTTCTTTGTTTCCCACTGGGCCATGTGCGGCTTAGAGACTGCCCAAATTCTCTTCTTAAAAGCTTTTCTAGGCTATCGGCTTAGGATATGGGCAAAAGACTGAAGATCTTTCAGAACATATTCTTTTCTGATTCTTTCTAACACACTGTGTGCTCCCCAGTTCACAATGGGGTAGAGGCCAAGGGATAGATATCTGAGATGGCAATATTGCAGACGACCACGGAAGATGTCACTTTCTTATGTTAAAACCTATTATTTGAAAATTCTGTAACTGAAACGACACTGAGCTTCTGTTATAGCCTCACAGTTTTAAAGAGGAGTCATAAAATGTCAGGATGTCCAAAGCTATAGATACATGTAAAAGGAAATGATTAATGTTTTGACATTATCAACATGCCGATACTGTCCTAGTAATGCAATGCCGTAAGTGGAATATACTAGTTTAGTGGAATCTCAGTAGGTTTATTTACAGAAAAAAAAAAAAAAAGAATATTATGAATGTATAGGTAATTTCAAAGTGAGAATATTTAAAAGCATTTATTACAAAAATTTCCTTACCCAAATACCCAAAATACTGGGAGATAACAAATTCCAATACATAAGGCTGGCTACTTTAAGTTGCTAGAGCAGCAAACTGGGATAGGAAGACGTGACCCTATTATGCCACTGATTTCCGCAGTGAGCTATGGCAACCTACAAAACCTGTCCTTGCTTTTATTCCCCATCTCCAGAACATTTTATGCACAAATACATGGCCAGGGAATTTAGGTCGTACAAAGGGAGTAATTTAGCCCTCTAGCTATCTAAATATCTAATCTCCTAATATATTTGGCCAGACTCAGAAGAGATGCTGCTTTACCTTTCCCAGACGGTAAAAATAGAAACAGTTAGGCATTAATTTGATGCACAGAGTGTTAGGCTGGCATACAACTTCAAGCATATCAGCAAATACATATTGTGGGAGCAGCAACTAAGTTGAGCAATGTTCAGTTTAACATTACCTTTTCTGTATAATAATGATGTGAAGAATAGTCCTCCAGCGTTTTTCTTTATTGGTTCCAGTAATTAAGTGAAACATTGTGTGGTATGTACTGAAGTATGCAGAAATTAGGACACAACTGCCAATCTGTGCTAATTATTTTTCTTACAGTTGTATTTATCTAATTTGTGCTGATTTCTTGGGGTCTGTATTTTATGATTGTTCTCATGACTAAACAACATTAGGATGATGCTAGACCCTTCTACCCAACAGTCACAAACAAATTAAATTCACCGTAGGTCTCCCTATTATGTCGTTTTAAATAACATTCTAAGAATGGCGCATTTACCTGAACTGAGCTTAAATCCTAACCTGCCTTTCATCCAGACAGGTGACTCAGCTCAGTATTTTTGTTAAAGTTAAAGGAAATCCAGTGCCTTTCTGACATACAGAAACATGCCATCCTGGTGTTCGACTACATGATCCTTTTGTCTGAAAAGAAGAGCCCAAGTATATTTCAGAAAGATCATATTTTTCATTTGGCTTATGGAACATTCATAAACTAGGACTCCTAACTGTGATTCCCAAACACAAAACAAAGTCAAAGGTTACAGCATATGTTTTTGTTTCAGCTTCTCCAAATTACTTGCAAATGTATTCAAACACAATATGAGGAGATACTTTATTTTATTGAAAATAACAGACTACAGGGTGCTGCAAAAAAGGCTGAGGTACCTCAAGCATAAACATGGAAAGAATACATTGGTTTAGAAACCCATAAATCCTTATTTGAATCTGCCAACCTGAAAGCCAAGTATAGCCCGAAAAAACTATTTTTCCTAAATGCTATGTCTGATTAAGCCATACTATTAAATGACAGCTGAACTTTAACATTAATATGATATTATTTAAATAACTGCATGATTTTTTTTTTTACACTAAAATGATGAATGATTTTTGGACAGCTCAATTGACATAAAGCAAGAAACCCCTTTAATGAGATTTGACAAAATGGAGACATATGCAGAATATTCGTTACAGCTCATGTCGCAGAGCCCTTCCTGGGGAGACTTGGGTTTGGTTGTGTCTTTTCTTTCATTCATTTTTTTTATAGTTTATTTTGATTGTCTACAGGCACTGAACCATCCCTTTCAATTGCCACTTCCTTTCTCCATGGATTTTGAATTTAGCTGGTGTCATTTACATATTACTCTTAATCAGAGAATTTTATATGTTACAGTTTGGAGTTGGAATTGTAAGAAATCTGTGGAACGAAGGCATGAGGTTCAGTCATTTTAACCTTTGTCAACTGGATATACAAGGAATTAACAAAGATATTTTTCTGAGGAGACTTATGAGGAGATAAAGCTTGCACTAAAGAACAACTTCTTAAATTCTGGTATTGATATTTTCCCAGCCAAGTGACAAATTAACAACTCTGCTAAAACTTTCTCTTCTTTTTTTCCTTTTTTTTAGTAAGCAAATTGCATTAAGGAAATGTGCAACATAAAAGCCCATGCAAGGGTAATTTCATACCGAACACTTAGAGGATGCTCTAAACTCCTTGAAAACCATGTTTTCATAGCACCCAGCACCACCTATTAGAGGGATGCTTTTGTTCTTCAGGAAGTTGAATATATACAGAAATATGGACGTCACAGAGAAGCTCAGGTGCTGATTCACTGGATAAAGAGCAGATATCCAGAGATGCCATTAATTCAGAAAGTCTGTCTGGGAAGTCACCGACATAAATTTAAGGTGGCTAGTAATCACTGGATAACTCCCTCCCTGCAGTCCCACATAGATTTTTAGGATGTTGCAAATTTTTCCTTTCTGTATCACCTCGCTTTGATCCCAGGGACAATTTTCATAACACTGAAAGCATGGAAAAAACATGCTAAAACCACAAGGTTTGACAATGTGTCTGCCCCATCTATTCAGGCAGAATTGATCATCTTAACCTTTTCTCTGTGTGCAAATTTACACTGCCCCAAAACATTTACAAACTTTCTCACATAAAATCTAACAGGTAAAAAACCCTGAAAACACCGAAATCACTCAAGAATAAGGAACCTTTAAAGGTCCCTTCCAACCCAAACTATTCTATGATTCTATGATTCTGTGAACATAGGAAATCATCATCAAAAAGCTTAATTTCACATACAACACAAATACACAGAAATAAAGATGAGAAATGATTGAGCATGATCTATCTACCCATGCCTGCTTCACTACCAGCATTCATTCAAAGACATTCTACATAGTAGCCACTGTAAAAAAAGTCAGGTACGTCAGCAAACTGCTGATGTTGAATTAAAAATAAATATAAAGGCACGGAGGGAGAGAGGAAAAAAAGAAAGAGCAGAAGTGCCCCTACCTTGGCCTTACCTTCGCAACATTCCCGTCAAAATCCTGGAACTCTTCCCCAGGTTTGCATCTGTTTCTCTAAGCTGGGGAGAAAAGAGTCCCATTAAAGGCAAAAGGCACATGTACTCCATTCTGTACAAAGCACAGATATTTCTACCGTCATTTGAGTCGATCAACTTCAGTTTTAGCCCACAACAAACTCTTGTGTAAGAAAGCCACCAAAGCTCTGAAATTTAAAAATGCTTTGTCTGGTTTTCACTTATATAAAGATGAAACCTACAGAAGGTAAGACATGGAGGCAACAAAGATGAACCAGGATAAAGAGCAAAAGCTTTACAAATAAAGGGTTGCAGGTAGAAGCTATATAAATTGGTATCCATTCATTCCCATTGATGTGTGTATGTGTATTGGTTATGTGTATTAGTGAGGGCATTAAGGGATGAGGAGACAGCCATGCGCTGTGTTCCTGATGCTTTATGAAAAGAAAAACAAACATATCTTTCTTCCACTGCTTTCCAAAGACAGTAGTTTAAAGAAAAAGCAAAAATACAAAACAGTGTTCTTTTATCAATTCTATGTAAAAGAAATATGCCTATACTGTCCCTTAAATACAAAACTTACTGTACTGACCTTACAGCAGCCACCACTGGGATGGATGCCCAAATACTTTGTGAACAGTATATAGTACGTACATAAGGCACAGCTGTATAATACATATTTTTGCACGTAAGGATCACTCACTCACTTACAATAGCATTTTTGTAGTTTATCAGGACACAGGAAACCTACATTTAGAGCTAAACTTAATTAGCTGACTCGTTCTACAGCTCTCAAAAATCTTGCAAAATAGGTAAAAGCACAACTGAATAAAAAATGAAATTGGGGAGATGAAAAGTTATGAAGCAAATGAACTTCATATTAAAAAAGAGCAATTACTTCTATTGCTCTTTAAAAGGGATTAAAACCTCCCCTCTATTTTTATGTTTATTAGCATCCCACAAAAGGAAGTCTGGAAATGAAGAAGGGTATAGGAAGAATAGAGTTACTCTCCTATTGCCTCTTTGGCTACTGGTAGCTAGAAGAGAGACATCTGACTTTTTAGAGATCTTGGAACCAGTGGGACATCAAAATCTACTGTAGATGACAATGTAATGATTGTCAGTTATGAAACAGCAGGGACCACTGTTTCTAACATGCCCGGAAACACAGCTGTGTGTACATACATTAAAAAATTCTTCTCCTTATGAAAACCGAATATTTACCCCTTCGTTATCAAATCAGATTGAAAGGATTACCTGACTCATTGACTTCTTACTAAAGAAACTTTGTTGTAGAAGACAAAATGCATCCTGTGTTATAAATCCATCAAAACAGTAACGCTGCCAAGAAAAGTGGCAGTCTTCCAATAACAAATCACCTTCACCATAACAAACCACTATTATAACTTGAATATATGTGTAGCAGCAATATTAAAACCAGTTTCTATTCTGGAGCCCAATACTGTAAATATTTGCTACCAGATTTAATGTTTATTACTGAAATCAGTAGTTGCAATCAATGACACATAACCGTTTTGCATAAATTTCCTCCTTGTTCTTGTAAAAGGTATTACGAAAATACGAAGTAGAAGCTGGGACTGGATAACACCAACCAAGACTTGCTCTTAGCAATATCATATTCAGTGGGAAGGCTTGCACTGACTCTCAGATCTCTGTAATTATGTGCTATGATGGAACAAAGATGAGCATTATATTCCAGGGAGGCCATTCCCTCATTTTTTCCTGATTCATCTAGACAATTCAAGCTCCAGAAAAGCAGTTTAGCCCAGTTTGACACAAGTAACAGAAGAAAAAACGTCATAGTAATTTTTAAAAGGCTCATTAAAAAGCCAAGTTCTTATCTATGCTAGAAGGGAATCTGAAGTACAAATGTATGCTTTACATTGGTCTTTTATTATTCATAAAGATGCATTTAACACTTGGGGCTTCTCCTCCCTTTTCACAGAAAAGTAGCTCTCTCCTTTTTACCATTATATGTTTGATCCTAACTTTCCTCTCTTGCTGCAGGATTCTACCTGACAGCTAGAATCAGTACTGATAGTAAGGAAGGGGAAGCTGAATCCTAGAGGTTTGACAAACTCCTCTAAGCAAGATGACCTCATATTTTTATGGTAATAAAAAAACCCTACAAAATATGTGAAAGAAATGTTAAAAAAGAAACAAACACGTACACACATAGTTGGAAGATCTCTAGCTACCTCCCAAGAGAACACTAAAAACCCACCTTTTCTTTCTGCACTGGCAGAAAAAAAAAACCCTAAAGAATTTCAAACTGTAAGTTTGTTTTTATTTAGAACTGAAATATCTGACTGTAGTTCTTCCATCATTTCTTTACCAATACCAGTGCACCGCAGAAGCCAAAGAATGGGTGGCATGCAAACCTTTTAAATGGCATATGATGGCACTTCCTTGTTTCACAGACCTGCTGCAGTGAAAACATTTTGAAATATGCTTTGATATTAGCAATGGCAAATCTACACAGTGTTTAAGAAAGCTTTTAAAAAACAATATTAAAATAATAATGAGAAAGGAAGGAAGATGAACAAGATGCTGACGTTGATATCTCGTCTGCCCTAGACACATTCTAATTTGAGGTTTTCCTAAAAAATCTTGCATCTTTTAGAATGCTGTATAGTCCAGTTAACCTATCTGACTTGCAGCAGAGCTTTTATGCCTTCTCTTTGGCTTCAAAAAAAAAAAAAAGTTTTACTCTACAGATAGGAAAACTCATATATGTAAATTTAACCAAACTATAGAGACACGAACTCATTTAAATGTTGCTTACATTAGGAAAATATTCCTAATTTTCACAACATCAAACCGCTAAGAACTGACCATCATACTCAAGCTGACATTTGACTTTCAGAAGACAAGTTTGTTCCCTGGTTGATAAGATAATAACACCATGTATTCAGTGTAAAGCTATTATGCATTGATAGACCACCCTCTGTTCTGGTCTTCAAAAAATCTCCAGAAAATGGAAAACTTGCCAAGTTCTCCAAGTTCATCCCTGACTGTACATCTGAGTATACAGACAGCTGGGACAGGTCCAGTCGTGTGGCTCCACTGGAGAACTTTTCTGAATTCCCTAAACAAAATATTTTAAGTGGCATATGATAAAAATGTGGAATTTGAGATCTTCCATTTATGACAAGAGGTCTATGCACTGTGGTGGGATACACTTTCCTATAATACCTTTATTTTTAATCTTGCTCCTTGCAGCTTACAGGTTTTGCCATCAAAGAAATTTGCTCTTCAGATGGAAAGCACAGAAAAGGAAAAGGCATGCTATGAACCATGTGTACACAGAGTCATCAGAACTACACTCCCTTTTTCTCTTTTCCGAGGATTTTTAGGATCAGCAGAAAGGGATACACGGTATTCATCTCCATTGCCTAGGTTTTACTCGTCCAGGTAGAAACAGAAAAGCATCTCAGACTCAACAGTCGCTAGGGATGTGAGGAGTGGAGGTGAAATAAGACACAAAGTTGCCTGAACAACACCTGGTAAAGCTCACAACCCTTAGTTACATTTCATGATTTAGTTATACTTAATGTTTTAAAGCAGCTAGTGCTCCAGACTTCAGAAAGCAACTGGTACAGCTGACAGAAAATGCCTCATTAAAGCTGTCATATGAGGCTTTACCAATCAGAGCTACCCAGAGTTTTCTTAGGTGGCATTGGTCAGCTAGAGGCCTGTAGGAGGACTCAGCTATGGCAAAATTGGACACTCAGGAAAGTATCTGATCAGCGTGTCACGGACAGAAAGCCACAGGTGCAGTCACTCCCGGTTCTGTGAGCAGAAATCAGAACCAGGGAGGCAAATTTCTTAGACTGAAGTTCAGAGAAGTTGTATGCGTTGGATGGGATAGGCTTCTGGGCATCTTCATTAACATTACAGGGTAACGATGATCCCTATGGAGGCAACATAAGCCAAAAATTACACAGATATGTTGTCTTGACTGCAGTGACAGAGCAGCAGTGTAAGAAACCACTACCTGTTCTTTCACGCAGCATTGCCTAAGGAGGCAACTATTAGCCTTTGCAGTTACAAGGTCGATCAATTATTAGAAGCTAAATCATGATACTGAACTTTGTTTCATAGAAAGTCCAAGAAGTCATTGCAATGGACACTGTAACAAATACTTCAAAGGACAGAAAACTGACTTATCTGTGATGTTAGTGACAGAAAGCTTGCTTCCAACAGCGGGTTTGGTGACTTCAGCGTGACTGCCTGTAGGAGAGGCTTTGCAGGATTAGGCCCATATAAGACACTTTCTAAGTGCTTTGCTGCAGATGGTGATCACATCTCACGATAGCAGCTGATTTATATGAAACTAATCAATATGCTGGATTATTTTTGCATGCACAGAGAACTTGCCCAAAGCAAATAAAATCCGAGACCAGCAATTACTTATCATCAAACTTACCCTTTCCCGAGCACGCTGGATCTTCTCTCTGTCATGGCTGAGGTTTTCCAGCATCTCCTGTCCAATCTGCTCTGCATTAAAAAATCAAATTGTAAATCATGAAAAATATAGCTTGTGCCTGTAAGGCCTCAAAATGCCAGGTTAGATTGTAACAACGGCACTTAATACATGTGGTAGCCTAATCACTCCTCCTAACTGCAAAGAGGCAGACATCGTTATACTAAATTTTAAGTTTTTCAAGCAACGTAGAACTGAAGAAGTAACAACCAAACCAGAAGCTGTCCCCCTGCAATCTCTTGAGGTTGTCTAGGCCCTGGGAATTGACGCTGACCTTTGGTCTGTGAAACAAAGGCAAGAATACTTTCAGGCTTGCTCTAAGTCCTGGGTGTTCACACTTCCCACACGCTCCTTAAGCCCACTCCTTGTCTTAGAAAGGAAGCCAGGAAGTCGTTGCTAAAACACCAGCCATCCTTATACCTTTAAAGACACTGAGAAGTCATATTAGAAGAAAAATGCTCTCTGTGCCTCTCAGCAATTACCATTGATGCTTAAATGAAAGTTATTTCAGGCTAAGCCCAGTTACTGGTGTCTATTTTGCTCCATCATGGACTGTTTCTGGCAAGCTTAGAGATACGCTGTAATAGATCTCCTGATGCTTTTAATAGCAGACATATACATTAATCTATTGTCATCACCGTTTGTTTACACAGGGGTTGTTTGCTTCTGCAGCTTATGCTGAACTAAAGGTTGCAAAATTATAGTGGAGAGGCCTCAAGATATGGTACAAAGACAACACAAGATGCCAAAACTTTAGTCTTCAAACAGCTTCAGTCAAATGCTCCTCTAACACTGAAATATTAGCAGCAAGTATAGAGAAGAGATTTTAATCTTCAAAGCTCTACAGAAACATTAAGAAACTCTCCCTGTATTTCCCCGAAGGAGAAAAATAAGTTAAATCATTCCCATTTTACAGATGAGGAAACAGACACAAGGAGCTGAAGCAGCTGTAGCTTGCCTCAGGACACACAGCACGTGTGAGACAACCAGCATTTCTGTGTATGTTCATTTAGGCTACTTAGCTAGCTTGCCAGAGATACGCACCAAAACTGAATAAAACTACAAAAACATCATTTTTTTCATAAACAACAAAAATCATGCCTTGCTTTTGTTCTAGTGAATGAGCGGGATCTGGGATCTTAAAATGTCATTATCTGAGGAGCCTCAAGAAAATTAATCATTAAAAATTCACCAATATGTTAGTAGAGCAAACATGACTATTCCTATTTTTTTTTAATAGATACAGTCTGTTTTCAGGAAACAATCCAAAGCAGAATCACCTCAAACTTTAAAAATTTGAGACAAGCAAGTTTTTTTCTAAATCCATTTAACACAAGGTACATGCTCTGCCAGATAAAGTCTAAGGAAATTCATTACATATATATTTCTCTATCTGTTGCCAAGTACAGTACAAGTAAGATAAATATTTCCTCAGATATCTGACCACAAATTGACATCCTCATTATGCTATCTTGTCCCTCTTGGCTTGCTGCTCTTTACTTTTAGCTGTATATACAATGCCTCCCAAAGGTGAAATGTGGTAAGATATGTGCTTATTGAGTTAAAAAAGCTGTAAGGTGCAGTACAGCTATACAAATGGTAGCCTAAGAAAACAATCTGAGACAGAGCTTTGCCTATGTTTGCATGTCAAAAGACTTACTGGATGAAACTATACTGAGCTTATTCCTCATCAAAGCGCTCAAAATACTGTAATGCACAAAAAGATACATGCATTCAGTGTAATCTGGAGGAAAAAACCCAAGCAAAACCCCTTAAAAATAGAGAGGAAAAAAATCAACAAATTACTAACCAAGTAGCATGAGATGGAATGGTAACAAATATTTACTGCTAAAAATTATACATATGTTTGCACAGACATAAAGGAGTGCGAGAAGCAGATTTTCTTTCAAAGGAATAACTACAAAGTAAATGGCTAAAATGGCTTGGTATTTCACAAACAAAGCTCACAAATATCATTATAGGAAACAGCTCTATTTTTATTAGACCAATTTTAAGCAAGTTACTGTGGGTTTTTTTTTTCATCCTCTTCCTGTCACTGGCAAGTTCACACTCTTAGCTTTTTATAATGATTGAGTTTATTTTCCAACCATCAATGTGTCAGCAGCATCAACTGTAAGTGAGGGTAAAACACCGTCACTTTGACGAATAGTGTATTTTCCTCTCATTGTCGATGACTGAAGACATCAATAAATAAGGAAGGAGAGCATGTCAGCCAGAATATCACAGAATGAATTGTTGATATGACACTTAGGGATTAAACCTTCAGCCATGAAGTTCAACCTAGCAGAGGGGTCTGAGAACTGAGATAGTTGCATTTCTTCCCAGCAGCCTCTATAGATAAATAATTGGACGGATCATCAATTTTACAGGAGCAGCTTTACTCTACATGCACTTTAGTTGATGATCTTTGGCCTTTTTTGGGCTAAAATAACAACATAAGTTGAACAAAGAGACATAACGGAGGTAACATAATCTCACAATAAGTTTGCAAACATAAATTGACACCTTTATCCACTGATCCTCTTCATATCCTTGTTCTACTCAGAAAATTCACTGATGACAGTGAAACTTGATTTTTAGTTGGAAGGTGAAGACAGTCAAACAAAAATATTAATAAATAAAGAAAATACAGACTTATAAATGATATGAAGACATGTCTCCCCACTTGGTTTGCAACTGAAGGTGCCTGGGACTGATAAAAAAGGTAACATTAGCTCACAATACAGCAAATTACAAGCTTGATATCATTGCTATCTGCTTGCTGTAATTTTTCAAGTTTCCCCACGACTCTGATGTTTTCCTGCCAGTTAAAACCTTCATCTATGTGGCAGATTCATGCTTTTAGTGCAACAGTGTTGTATAGATCTTTCCAGACTACTTATAATGCAAATCATTGACGATGCTACTACAGTTATGTGAAAAGGTCAGGTTTCTAAGATATACTGTAGTGCAGATGCATGAATTAAGACCAATACACAAACTGAAGGGTGTTGCATGTTGCCAGTAATGGTATTATTTCCACAGAATCTTAACAACCTCAATTATTTGGGGATTATCCCATCCTTTTAGTTGGTACGTACGGACAATGTTTAGCACAGTGCGGTCCCAAGCCCTACAAAAGACTGCGTGGTGCTGCCTCTTCTACCTGAAATTCCCAAAGAGATGCCTAAAATTATGTTCTAAAATTACAGCTAAACTATGAGAAGCAGAAAGGTGAATGCGTTTACATCATTATTATCTGTGTACTGACAGAGGGCAGGAATATTCGATATAGCAATTCTCTCAGTCTTAAACAATGCTGTGATGAACAGAAAAAAAATTTCTGAAAAAGTACATAACTTAATATTAACAAGCATCAATCTTAAAGGGTGAGTGCTAAAATTCACATCTCTAAATGTATTCCGCCTTAAAGGTGTTTGAACAATGTATGGGAAATCAGCCCCTTTAGTGCTGAACACTTTAATAATGCTATGTTGAGGGTCCAACACAAATGGTGCCTGGTTTTATGAGACTGTGTTATGCAAAAAAAAATATAACATTTCTTATCCTAAAACACTGAACCTAATTAGAAGAATGAAGATGCTTTCCCCAACTGAATAATAAACAAAACTCCAAAAAAACCAACAAATGCAAACCCAACTTCCCCCCTCACGTGTGCAAAAACTGGGACATGGTTTTCAACTCTTATACTGAGAAAAACCCAGAAGACAATGATTACTTCGAGTGATGCTTTACACTTCTGAGTATGCCCTTACTTTGGAATTTGCCTGTAACCTATATGCAGTATTTATTTATATGTACAAATCATAATTATTTAATACATGTTCCACAAAGCTTGATTTCTAGTACCTACACACATATCAAGGATGCAAAATAAGTTGTGCTTGACTGGTTTTTCTTTTCCTTTTTTTGCCTCCAGCCATTTAAACATTTATTTACTTTATCAGCTAAACTGATTCTGAAAGAGCTTTTCCTAATCACTCAAGTCAATAATACTTTTTTTCCTTAAGAATGACTAATATATTTACTCAAGAGACAGGAATGAAACAGAATGAGCCTCTCCAGGCTTTTGGATAAATAAACATGCATTTTTATGAATTTTGAAGACAGAGTCCTAATTTTTCTTTTCATATGAAAAATAAAATAATCCAACATGGTTTATACAACACTTTTCCTCTCCAAGTGTACCCTGTGTGTGTGTGTGTATATAAATACATTTCATAAGAGGCAGCAGATATTCTGATATGGTCTAAAATGTAAAAAAAAGCTTAAAAACAACCAAACCATGGAGAGGGTGCCTGGAAGTACGATTTGCCCAATCTCATCATATGTACAATGCATGCATCTGAGCTATGTAACTAGAGGTGGGAAAAGACAAACTAATTTACACCGGGAAAAGCAGAAGATCATGTTAAAAATCAAGATGGCTGATCTACAGAATCATGAAATAAACTCAGAAAACCACTGTGTGTTGTGAGAAAAGGAATCAGAGTAGGAATGGAGAACACTTACACCCTGAGATCCTCAGCCTTGCCTAGTGAATAACGCCGTTTGGGGAGTGCAATTCTGTGTTGTCTTTGCACAGAGACATCTCATGCTCTGAAGATGCAGCAAAGATTTTTGGAGAAGAACTACGCTGACACAGGCAGAAACTGAGTAAACATATTCAAGGCTGGGACACATTTTTTCCAAAAGCTGCTCCATTTTGGACAGGTTAAAAGTTTAGATTTTAGGAGACTAAAAGAGATAAATCATGAACAGCAGTTTCTGGAAAAAAACGCTAGAAAGCGTTAAATGCTAGCTGTTCAGAGGTGACAGCAAGTAGATTTACAAACTTGGAAAATATATGTTGCAGGAGTTAGAAGAATTCAGGGTTGAGTCAAATGCTTTATGCTTCTGGCAGCAGAAAGTTAATAAAGAAAGTGATGACATATCTTTAAGTGTAGGGACACAGGTAAAAGTCCTATAAATTTACAAGTTCGCAGTTGACATA